CTGTAAAGCTGCAGTCGCTACATTAGATCCCTACCAAACAGGAGTTGACCCTGATTCCAGCTGTTCCCTAGAAAAGACTGGAGCTTTTTTACTGAGGAGTTCAATGTCCAGCATCCACCAGGAAGAGGATTTTAATCCGATCCTGTGTGTTTGACTCTACTGAGGAGTGATTGGGCTGTGAGAAAAACCTTCCTGGTCTGATAATACATTTTATAGCCTTTTACTGGCATCACAACAGATATAAAATTGACAAACATGATCCAATTTTTTAGATAAATATAAAACCCTGATTCACACACACTGTGGCAGTGATTTAGTTTGTCCTGGACTCCAAGGGTTTGCGAATCTAAAGCTAATATTTATCAAAATAACTCAGTTAAAACTTTTTGTTTTTCGATCATCAATAATATAAAGTCTTTAAAACGACAAAAGTGGAAACTAATCATTTCTATGATATATACAGGTGCTGGTCATAAAATTAGAATATCATGAAAAAGTAGATTGATTTCAGTAATTCCATTTAAAAAGTGAAACTTGTATATTATATTCATACATTACATACAAACTCATATATTTCAGATGTTTATTTTGTTTAATTTTGATGATTACAAATGACAACAAATGAAAATCTCAAATTCATCATATCAGAAAATTAGAATATTACTGAAGACCAATAAAAACAAAGGATTTATAGAAATGTTGGCCAACTGAAAGTATGAACATGAAAAGTATGAGCATGTACAGCACTCAGTATTTAGTTGGGCCTCCTTTGGCCTGTATTACTGCAGCAATGCGGCGTGGCATGGAGTCGATCAGTCTGTGGCACCGCTCAGATGTTATGATAGCCCAGGTTGCTCTAATAGTGGCTTTTAGCTCTTCTGAATTGTTGGGTCTGGTGTATTGCATCTTCTTCTTCACAATACCCCATAGATTTTCTATGGGGTTAAGGTCAGGAGAGTTTGCTGGCCAATTAAGAACAGGGATACCATGGTCCTTCAACCAGGTACTGGTAGCTTTGGCACTGTGTGCAGGTGCCAAGTCCTGTTGGAAAATGAAATCTGCATCTCCAAAAAGTTGGTCAGCTGCAGGAAGCATGAAGTGCTCTAAAACTTCCTGGTATGTGGCTGCGTTGACCCTGGACCTCAGAAAACACAATGGACCAACACCAGCAGATGACATGGCACCCCAAACCATCACTGACTGTGGAAACTTTACACTGGACTTCAAGCAACGTGGATGAAGTGCCTCTCTTCTTTTCCTCCAGACTCTGGGACCTTGATTTCCAAAGGAAATGCAAAATTTACTTTCATCAGAGAACATGACTTTGGACCACTCACCAGCAGTCCAGTCCTGTTTCTCTTTAGCCCAGGCAAGACGCTTCTGACGCTGTCTGTGGTTCAAGAGTGGCTTGACACAAGGAATGCGACAGCAGAAACCCATGTCTTTCATACGTCTGTGTGTGGTGGTTCTTGAAGCACTCACTCCAGCTGCAGTCCACTCTTTGTGAATCTCCCCCACATTTTTGAAGGGGTTTTGTTTCACAATCCTCTCCAGGGTGCGGTTATCTCTCTTGCTTGTACACTTTTTTCGACCACATCTTTTCCTTCCCTTCGCCTCTCTATTAATGTGCTTGGACACTGAGCTCTGTGAACAGCCAGCCTCTTTAGCGATGACCTTTTGTGTCTTGCCCTCCTTGTGCAAGGTGTCGATGGTCGTCTTTTGGACAACTGTCAAGTCAGCAGTCTTCCCCATGATTGTGTAGCCTATAGAACTAGACTGAAAGACCATTTAAAGGCTTTTGCAGGTGGTTTGAGTTAATTAGCTGATTAGAGTGTGGCACCAGGGGCCATCAATTTTGAACCTTTTCACAATATTCTAATTTTCTGATATGATGAATTTGAGATTTTTATCTGTTGTCATTTGTAATCATCAAAATTAAACAAAATAAACATCTGAAATATATGAGTTTGTATGTAATGTATGAATATAATATACAAGTTTCACTTTTTAAATGGAATTACTGAAATCAATCTACTTTTTCATGATATTCTAATTTTATGACCAGCACCTGTATACTAACAAAAAGCCTTACATATTAGCATTTTAATCAGGCTAATTAAAAAGCCTTCCTGTTAGCTTCAACTCTCTTTTTCCCTTCTACTGGCTTTTATTCTTTTTTAAATTCTCTTTTCTAGTCCAGTTGTTTTACAAATGTTTTGGCTTTTATTTTTCTTCTATTTTATTATCTAATGGATGTAAAGCACTTAGAATAGTCCACCTACTGAATTATGCGGTACCAATAAAATGGTCTTCCCTCTAACCAGCTGACAGCTTTTCTAGGGCCCGGGACAGTCTTTTTGGGGCCCTCTGAATCTACTGGCAGTTCATTTGCCATCTCTAAGAAAGGCTTCCTTTTTGCCATTACAAACATTCACTCTATCAGAATCAGTCACTTTTGTTGGCCATAATGCAGGATCATTGAAATCAGTGGCGTGATCTGTCTCTGAGCTGCTGTGCTCAGACTCTCCCATCAGGCAGAAAAGTCCCTCCACCTGCACAGCGTTATCAGTACGGTCGGCTCTCTGTCTCCTCCTCAAACACACGCCGTCTCTCCCCCGGACCCTGAAGGTGCAACGGGAGACCTGCAGTGCTGTCCTCCCGTCTCCCCCTCAGCCTCAGCTGGCTCCCCCCTTACACTAGCTAGCGGATGCAATACATTAAATCCCATTGATAAACGCCTTGCTTCTTACCTGGCTCTGAATGGGCATCATTCTTCTGCAATTCTGTTCCTGGATCTGTTCCTGACTCATCCTCAGTTTATCTTTAATATTTACCCATAAAATCTCTCAAGCCTTTGGTGTCATCTTCCCTTTTTCTGTTCTACGCGCCGGGGAGATTATATATATATATATATATATATAGTTACTTTAATATTAAATAATTGTATCACATATTTTCTGAAAAATTACTTCTGCCTGTATTTTTAATGGTCAAAATGTCAATTTTGGGCCCCCCTCGCTCTAACCTTTGACCTATTTTCTGTTTATTTCCTCAGCTTCACAGTGAGAATGGCCTTCCAGTAAGAGAGGTGATGTGTCGTCACTACTAAACCAACCTGACCTGCCGTCCACACATCAGCTGCTGGAACCAGATCTGATCTAAATGACATCATCAATTGTTACTGAATGGAAATAGTTTTTGGTTTCAGTAAAATGACAGCAGAATGGTGGTGGTTTTAGATCATGGCCAGGGTGGGAAAAGCGTGGGTTTTTTTTCCCCTCCATCAGCAGCGAATTTTAAAATAGAACATGTGACATAATTGCTGCATAAGGTGCAGGGTAGAGACCCCTGATCTAGCAGATGAGAACCGTAATCTCAATCCTGCTAAAGCTAAAAGTTTAACATCTTAATTTTAAAATTATTATTTAAGTAAAGTCTAAAGGTAAATTCTCACATTTTTCCAAGAAACCGAATAGTTACAGTTTCTGTGCCAGTTTATCATCATCAGAAATAAATGTGTAAAATCCATCATGAGGGCCCATAACAGGATGCAGGACTACTGTGGCACTGGCGCCACGCTCCAAAACCATCTAATCAAGTGCATGCATCGTTCCCCAGATAAGGGTATTAAGCTTTAATATCAATAGATGCTTCATGATTTCTTTGGAAATATTGAAATATATATGGCACAAAAGTATCGATTGTGAATAACTGTTAATTTTACTGTAACAAAGTCAACCTTTTTCAAGCGATTTATCAGGTTCTTATTTAAGGACACATACCTATCCTGTGTAATAAAAAACACTGATCTCTCCTCAGTTTCTGGGCATAAATATTAATCTTTGAAAAATTCACCTATTGATGTTTTTATAAACGTTGAAATCTATTGTTATCCTTTGTTCATTGGGATTTTGATTGATTAATTTGAACTTTTGGTCAGCCCTGGAATAAACTATGAGCTTTTTATCCTCCAGGAAAATGGTGCATCTATTAATTCAGAGGTACGACCACCAGCCATAATATTACTGGACTTTAGAGGAAGTAATTCAAGCTTCAGTTCCGGCATTCCAGATACCTAACGCAAGTTTACTCCACTATCTGACATTCTTTGTTGAACACCAGCGGGGTGAGGGGGGGGTTTACCATTAGGCAATACTAGGCAGTTGCCTTGGGCCCCAAGTTCCTGGGGGCCCCCATAAAGCTCTGTTTACATTTGTAGTTAATACAACTATTCCCTATTTGTGCACATTTATAATTTTGATAGAAATCTTTTTCTAAAATGCATCAGAACTCTTATAATATTAAGTGTGTCTCAGCCCCCCCCTTCAGTGTCCACCATATTGGATCAGTCCATTTGCTGCTCATGTTCAGAAAGGTCCAAACTGACAGCAGCAAACTATATTTAGCCACTTTTCAGACCCCTCTAGCACTTTGATTATAAAAAAGCTCCTAGCGCCAAATCTAGCTACTTTTTTCTGCTAGTGGAGACTTTGGCGCCAACATCTCAAAGCAGCGAACTCTGCTCTCCAGAGCAAGTAGATTGGTAACCCCGCCTCCTGCTCTCCTCTATCTTGTCTGCTGTCATGATTCATGCAGCTATTATTTCATCCAAATGAAAAATGGAGAACAGAGAAGCAGATCATGGCTTGTCTACAGTGAAAAGAAGGACTGGGTTATTTACTTTGGCCTTTTTGGAAACACAGGAAGGAGCAATCAGCTAAGTGAGCTTAATGCTTGGAAAAAATCTGCATCTGTAAGGTGATTAGAAACAGCAACTTCCCCTATAAAGGGTTAACATTTCTCTATAATTGGTCTGTTTTAAGTGTTGTCTTCTCCTATCAGAGGGGCCCCTGCCTGTCTTTTCCAGGGGCCCCTGATTCCCAGCTCAGACAGAGCTCACAAACAGCGCCCTCTAGCGTTACCATGGGTTACTGTCGCAGGAACCTTCATCCTCATCACAGTTGAGAGCATCAGAAGTGATTATTGAGGGAAACACTCACGGTTCAGCATCGATGCTCTCCACAGGGGCCACATAGTTGGCAGGAATGTATCCCTTTGTGTTGGCAGAGATCCCGGTGACGGCCCTGGCGATCCACCACTCCCCGGTGCTGGAGTCCAGGACCTCCAGGACATCCCCGGTGTTAAAGGTCAGATCATCCGCGGTGCGAGCCGTGTAATCAAAGAGCGCGACGTAGCGCGTGCCCTCCACGAACCCCGGGGGTGAGGGCAGGGGCCTGGCTGAGGGCTGGGTCACCTGCGAGTCCAGCTTAGGGGCCACCGCCTGGTTCTGGATGATGGTGATGTCTTTACTCCTCTGACGCTCCTGCTCGGCCTGCTGGGAGGCTTTACAGCAGCAGCAGCAGCAGGCAGCCACTCTGTCCCAGCAGGAGAACTTCCCCTTGCTCCCCATGCTGCTCCTCTGCTCCTCAGTCACAGGGAAGCTGTCCTCCTGCTGCTCCTCAGTCACAGGGAAACTGTCCTCCTCCTGCTGCTCCTCTGCTCCTCAGTCACAGGGAAACTGTCCTCCTCCTGCTGCTCCTCTGCTCCTCAGTCACAGGGAAACTGTCCTCCTCCTGCTGCCATAAAGAGAGAATCAATGAGGGACAGCAGTGACCTTTGACCAACTGCTCTGATGGGAAGCAGGACAGATTAACCTGGGAGGCTTCCTGGTTCACACAGGTGGAAGAAATCACCTGCTGAGGAATGGGGCGGGGCCTGACGTCAGAGCCTCCTGTAGAGAAGATAAGGAGCTAAAGTCCACATTTAACCTTTTCTTTGCATTTTTTTCTTTTATAAACTAGGACAGAGTATTAGGGCCAGGCTAGATCATTTTTATTTTTTGTTTTTATTTATTTAATTATTTAATTAATTTAATTAATTAATTAATTTATTTATTTATTTCCTTATTTGTTAAAAATGCCAAAGTCTAACTTGACGTGATGCTGATTATTCCTCATTTTAGGGAGGAAACTTCTCTTTGTAAGAGTTTTCATAAAATACAACTTGTTTCTCCTAATTCTCATAATGTTGCCACTTTATCTTGTAATCGTAATATTTTATTCTAATAATTTCATGAATTTATTCTCAAAAGAAAAAAAAATCTCCACTCTTGTCTTAATAGTCATAATCCACACAAAAACTTTTTTTTCCTTTATTTTTACAGACAAGTCATTAAAAACAAGTTCTTATTTCCAATGGCGGCCTGATGAGTGGAGTAACCACTTAGGAAAAGAGAAGTAGGGCTAAAATAAATAAATACATTTTTACTGTATAAACTCTTTGACATTATTGATTTTCTCTGAATTTATTATTTAATCTGACAAACTTTATATCCTCTTGTTTCCGTTTTATTTTCTGCTCTTCACTTCTTAAAGCTTTACTTTCATCTTCACCCGGCTAACTCGATGTACATTATTTTTATAAATCCTTTCATAATATAATATTAACAAACAAATCTCCCAACACTAAACCTCCTGATATCTGTGTGTTAAAGTATTTTTTTTTTTACTTTTATTACATTTTGACTTATTCTTTTTTATATGAAAGGCTATAAAGTAGATAATTCTCAACATCCTAAAACTCCAAAGTCTGACTTCAAACATGGTTGAATCTGATATGTTCAATAAAGCTCATTTTAATCTTAGATATATCTTTTATTTCTTTTAATGTTGTAAAAATGTTCCTCCAGGCAGGAAGTAAAGCTTAATACCAGAAACACAGAACCATAAACTGGTTTATATGGTCTCCCTCCTCCTGGGCCAGCCGTCCTTTCTCCTTTATAGAACTTATATCTTGATCAAAGTGACTCTAATCTTAGCATGCTAATAGCTAGGATTAGCATGACCCTCCCACAACACCTGATACTCAAACTAGAAAAACGAGGACTGCGGATCCTGTTGTGAAACTGGAGCGATTGCGGCTCTTTATCATGAACAATGTCACGTTAACATGATGTCATGGCGTCTCCTGAGGAATGCAGGAGATAATGTATGGTTACAATCTATGGAATGCAGTCCGGCCTCTTTTTAAGCTGCTGTCTTCTCTATTCTTTCTTCAAGGTTTTGTCAGTGACACGATTTGTTAGTAATCATTTCCACGGCTTTATTGTTTTGAAGCAATTCAGTCTATATAGCACCAATTCACAACATATGTCATCTCAAGGCACTTTCCAGTTCACCAGATCATCCAGTCAGATTGATTCAAAGTTTTCTATCTAAGGAAAACCAGCTGATTGCATCGACTCATTGACTCTTCAGCAATCCCTCACACTAAGCCGGGCAGACACTGTGTGATATTTTCAATTGTTGCACAAAGCTTCAGTTCAACATGTACGAAAAAAACGCAGGGTTCACAGCTCACGATGTATGCTCTCACACTGTGCGGCCCGATGCTCGAGGTTCTAATTAATCGGCTCGTAGCTCTGCTTCAACAGCAGGGTTTGTCCCGAAAAACCTCACGTCGGCCGACTGAATTTCAGACATGTTTGATTTTCTCCCGACTTTACGATTCCTGATCGGGAGGTGGTCGCCCCTCGTTACCCCCTGTATACTACAGGACGCACAATGAGGCGGAAACTGACCCAGTCAAAAAAGTTCTCAAACGACTGGAGAATCGGCCTGAAAAGGGACAAAGAACATACGGTGTATGCCCGGCTTAAGCATGCTTGTAGCGACAGTGGAGAGAAAAAACACCCTTTTAACAGAAAGAAACCTCCAGCAGAACCAGGCTCAGTGTGAGCGGCCATCTGCTGAGGCCGACTGGGGTTCAAGGAGACAGAAGCAGACATAGAAATCGAAGCATAGATACAAAAGGCAACTGTGAACCAGCTCCACAAGCGGCCCCGTCCAGGAAACACCCAGCCAGGCAGACGAGCTCCAAACCAATTATGCTTGTTGCAATAAAAGAAGCAAGAATACACTGAAAAACAGGCCGATCTCCAACATCTATAAACAAAGGTGTTGATGGCAGCAGCACAGCTGATATTTTATGGAATCAAATCGTTACCATATTTCAAATGAAAAAGCATTTCCAGAAAAGCTTTTTCATTTTAAGAATGTGGCTGCATTGTTTGACTCATAAATGAAATTAGTGATCAATAGAAAGGCCCTCACAGCTGAAGCTCTTTTAGGAAATTATTTGCAGGAAACCAACTTTTAATGAGTTCTCTGAACCGCATGCTTGTGGACATAAGCCAAAAGGAAACACTCTATTTACCGTAGATCTATATCCCAACCATAAACCCATCAATTAATTGGAAAGAGCAATAAACATTAACTGGACTTTGTTCGTTTCCTGATATGGGACATAAAGTGAGACGTTCAGAGTGATCTGTTTACAGCACAGCTATGGCAGAAGTCTGCTCTCTTTCTATCACTATTCACCACTAAGATGCATATAGATATATATTATATAAATATTAAATATAGGCCTACATGTCTTATAACTTAAAACACTAAAGAAAATGATTTCAGGAAATCACAGCAGAGGTTTCATAAGGAGCGCGAGCGCCACCGCGTGGACAAAGGTCGACATTACACCATAGATGTTTCATAACAGGGATGTCTTTGGAAAAAAAATGAACTTTAGATTTTACCAAAATAAAAGTAAAAATATAGAAGACAATAGATGAAACAAATTTATAAAAATAAGTTGATCATTGTTCATTTTTAACAGCATTTGGAACTTCTACTGGAAATTCTCCAATTTATAGGCACCAACATTGGGAGGATTTAAAGCTGTTTTATATGTAATTTATCAAATCATATCATTTATTATTTGAGGGGTATAAGAATCGCACCCTGTTTTCACTGATCTAGAGTCCTGTTTTCAGATGAGGTGGGTGGAGTAGCACAATAAAATATAAAGAAGTAAAAGTACTTCATCATATTTTTACTGAAGTACTTTATTTTATTTCTTTTACACATGAAGTACTAATGATCATACTATTTAAAATGATGTACAGCCACACAGAACATAAAGTTATGCAAACTCTAGTGTTAAAAATATAAAGAAAACAAATATAAAATGTACAACAGTTATCCATAACAATTTCAGTAGATATTTATATATATATATGGAAAATATGTGTGAATATTGGACAAAAAGAAGTTTAACAGGAATGTTACTTAACTTTAAGTTCATTTAAGTGCAATTAGAGTTAAGTTCTTCGTACCCCCTTTAAGACATATATATATACCTGTTGTATATACCGACAGGTTTATTGGGTGGAGGGTTTTGTTTCTATTCATGTTCAGGTGATTTAGTTTGTTTGGAAATTGATGTTTGGTTTGGTTGATGTTAACTAGGCTCTTTTGGTTGTATTTGGTTGATTCAATATTTTTTATTTTTCAAAAAAAGTCTGAAATAAATTCATATTCATTAATTAATTAATCAATTCATAAATATATCTATCTATCTATCTATATATATAGATCTATATATATATCTATCTATCTATATATATAGATCTATCTATATATATAGATCTATATATATATATATATATATATATATATATATATATATATATATATATATATATATATATATATATATATATATATATATATATATATATATATATATATATATATATATATATATATATATATATATATATATATATATATATATATATATATATAATCTATATATATATATACACACACATATATATATCTATCTATATATATATATATATATATATATATATATATATAGATAGATAGATAGATCTATGTATGTGTGTGTATATATATATATAGATTATATATATATATATATCTATATATATATATATATAGATATATATATGTGTGTGTATATATATATAGATTATATATATATATATATATATATATAAATACTTAGGATAGCAGATACTTAACTAAAGCACTGAAATAAAATAAATAGTAATTATTACTAAAATAAAATAATAAAAAAATAAAAAAATAAATACAAAAAATGATAGCAGTTACTTCCATTATCTAGATACAGTACGCCCTTTATTTACTGTAAGTTCACTGATTTCAGATGAAACAGCAGGATCAGCAGATAGATCATTGAGCACAAAAAATAATTTTCAACAATAATGCATGTGAGAGACACACACCTTCACTGTCATCTAAAGCAAACAAACCTATAACTGAGTCTCATCTACAGCACTTATTACAACTTTGAATGATATTTAGAACCAAATAGTTGAAACACACCTTAAATTTTCATTGGGTGACATCACTCATGTTGGGAAGAGGAACCAGAAGCTTTATTTGAGTAAGAATAAGAATTGTATTGCAGTAAAACTACTGTTGAAGGTGTTTTTTTCCCCCTTTTTCATAAAGGTGAATGAGTTAATGTAACTGATTGATCACCCTCTGGCTGAAAATGTTAAATTTCATTTTATAAAAGGAAGATTAAAAAGGAATAAAAGAACAGATGAACCAGGTTTGTAAACTAGGTTCCACATCAGTTAAGATCCAGGGTTCAATCATGTGCTGCTGTGGCTTCACTGCGTTATATGAAGTTGGCAGAGCTGTATGCAGCGCTGTCCAACTGCTGACAGGAGATGCTCATTTCATTTTCAGCCATCAGAGGAACTAAAATCTGTTTTAACCAACATGCTGTCTATGGGCCGCCGTTTGTAAAGTTAAGCACTCAAAAATTAGCAGCAATATTAATGGTTATTTAGCGTGTTTTAAGAGAAAAATAAGGAGATTGTTTTTTTTCCCAAGTAATTTTTTAACTATGTCATTCATTCATTTATAAAAACCTTACTTTGTTAAATAAATCTTTAGTTCGGAGCTAAATATTTAGTTTGCAAATTACATATTTAGTTTGGAGCTAAATATGTATTTAAAAAAAACAAAAACAAAGCTAAATATTTAATTTGCAAACTAAATATTTTATTGGGACCTAAATATTTATTTAACAAACTAAACATTTAATTTGCAAAGTAAATATTTAGTTCAGAGCTAAATATTTAGTTTGCAAACTTAATATTTTGTTTGACCTAAATATTTATTTAACAAACTAAATATTTAGTTTGGAGCAAAATATTTATTCAAAAAAATCTAAATATTTATTTAATAAACTAAATATTTTGTTTGGAGCTAAATGTTTAGTTTGCAAACTAAATATTTATTTAACTTAATATTTTGTTTGACCTAAATATTTATTTAACAAACTAAACATTTAGTTTGCAACCTAAATATTTATTTAACAACCTTCATATTTAATTTGCAAACTAAATTTCTAGTTTGGAGCTAAATATTTATTTTAAAATCTAAATATTTAGTTTGAACCTAAATATTTATTTAACAAATTAAGGTTTTTATAAATGAATGAATTACATAGTGAAAAAAATGAATTGGGAAAAAAAACTCCTTATTTTTCTCTTAAAACGCACTAAATAACCATAAATATTGCTGCTAATTTTTGATTGCTTAACTTTACAAACAGCGGCCCAAAGCAGTCGCTGTACTTTATTTAGTTTAACACCATCAGAATGCATGTGGTTAACTAGGAATTAACTAACAGATCATCAGAACCACAGGATGATCAGTTTGGGTCTGGATCTTTCATTTCTATTAGAAACTCAATTTAGGTATTTTTATTGTCTTTAAGCTATAATCATCAAATTAACATGAACATAAACACACTTCAACTAAATCAGAATTTAATTACTGTATATGGTGATTACACAAAACTTGAAAAAGCTAAAAAAAAAAAAAACACTTAAAAGTATTTTCCAAATAATATAGTGAGTTATGCTATATGAATTTAAATAAAAGTTTTAAAAACATGGGATATTTTGTTTGCGGTGTTTTGTTTCTCCTAAAAAGTGTTACTATTAATCTTGTTATCCCTGCCAATAAGTCAGTCCAGCTTTCGTCACTAAGCGCACTCTAAATGTTTTTTTCTGTGGAGCTCCTACTCCAGATGTTACGGCTACATCCGGAAGTGTTGCAGGCTGTCTGCTCTCTGCTGCCATCTCCTGGCGGACAAGGAGTCCAACTTTTTGCTTCCATTTGCAGAACTTTGCCGTGAAGCTTCCAGCCATCAGACAGCGGAGCTTAGCAGGGATCCGGAGCAGCGTTTGTTTCAGCGGGTCTCCCCGAACAGAGGCCGAGCGGAGCCGGAACCGCCCCCCTACCTGTCAGTCACCGTCACAGACCGGGGAGCTGCACAATCCGCGCGCGACTTTCAGCCCTCGAGCGCGTCTCCCCGTCTTTCTCCCACGCGCGCAACTTAAAGCCAGCCTCAGCACCGCGAAGATGTCCGAGTTCTTCAGCCTGTCCGACTGCGACGTCATCGGCTTTGATCTGGACCACACGCTGTGCCGCTACCGTCTGAAGGAGACGTCCAGGGTGAGTGTCGCTCCTCAGGTACATAACCGGACGGTGGCCGTGAAGGTTCGAGCTGTCCCTGCGCGTGGAGCCACAGACAGCTTCAGCCTGCTCTGGCGCGTGCCAGGAGAGGGCACGCTGCTGAGAGCGCTATGCCCTTTGATGTGTGCGGCTGCCCTGCAGTCACTCCGCGTGACTCACAGGTTGGGGCGTCGGTGGATGCGCTGCTGTAGCGCGCGGCTGGATCCCCCTGAGGCCGAGCTGGAGCCCGATGCTCCTGCTGACATCTTCCTGCTCCCAGAGAGAACAGCTGGCGGAGCGCGGCTCCTGTTTCTGGCCTGCATCTGAACCAGGCCGACGCTCCAATACAGACACAAGTCCTGTTGGTCAGGCTGTAGGAAGCCAGTAATGACAACAAATAAAGATTTCCCTCTGATATGATGACAGATCAACAGGGGCGGATTTAGGAAATGTGGGGCCCTAGGCAAAGACAGGTAGGGGGCCCTCTGAATGGAGAAGACATAAAACAGACCCATTCTACAGATAGAGAAATGTTAATAGAATAGACATCCATTATCTGTTCTAGGTTGTGTCCCTCTCTTCTTGTCCCTTTTCTTCTTGTTTTCCTCTCTATGTTTTGTACTCAGCTGACTTTTCATGCTGTCTCTAAAGGAATGAAAGATTTTTTCCAAGCACTAAGCTCACTTAGCTGATTGCTCCTTCCTGTGTTTCCAAAAAGGCCAAAGTAAATAACCCAGTCCTTCTTTTCACTGTAGACAAGCCATGATCTGCTTATCTGTTCTCCATTTTTCATTTGGATGAAATAATAGCTGCATGAATCATGACAGCAGACAAGATAGAGGAGAGCAGGAGGCGGGGTTACCAATCTACTTGCTCTGGAGAGCAGAGTTCGCTGCTTTTAGATGTTGGCGCCAAAGTCTCCAGTAGCAGAAAAAAGTCACTATATTTTGGGCTAGAAGCTTTTTAGAAATCAAAGTGCTAGAGGGGTCTGAAAAGTGGCTAAATATAGCGACTAAAGCGCTAAGTTGGCAACACTGCTCTTTGCATCATTTGTTTTCAAATGGTTTGCTGCTGTCTGTTTGGACCTTTCTGAACATGTGCAGCAAATGGACTGATCCAATATGGCGGACACTGAGGGGGGGGCTGAGATACATTTAATATTATCAGCGTTCTGATGCATTTTAGTGAAAATATTTTAATCAAAAACTTACTTAATGTGCACAAATAAGGAACAGCTGTAATAACCATGCTTTTAAACAGAGTGTTATGGGGCCCCCGGGGACTTGGGGCCCTAGGGAACTACCTAGTATTGCCTAATGGTAGATTCCATGCTGTGTTGGGCAATCTGGTGTCTGACTTCATGCTCACTGTGTTTTACAGCTTATCTATGAGAGCTTCGCCCGCTATCTGGTGGAGCATAAGGGATACGACCGAGACCTCCTGAACCTGACTCCTGCTACCTGGGACTTCTGGTAGGTCTGCAGCTGCAGGAGGTTTTTAGCTAGCAGGGGGGACGCGCCACAGAAAGATGGAAGACCGGCCTTCGAGATTCCAAGACTACAGGAGCATTCCAGTTGGAAGAATATCCTTCAAAAGGGAATTTATTTAAATTTGCATTACATTGCAAAACAAAAACTCTGATTATAAACAGATTCATCACATCTATTGATATATTTAAAGTATTTCTTTCAATTAAAATAATTAAAGCAAAAAAAAAAAAGTTTCTTGGTAAATGTGAATATTATATTAATTGTAATTCAGTTTCTTTATGTTGCAGCAACAATATGCAAACGCTTCCTAATTAAATGTAGAAATCTATAATCTAATCTATAACCAATGCATCCCTTCAGATGCTGTACAGCTAGGTAGGTTAGCGATATACCCCGCGTTGTGTTGGGGTCGGTCTGCACAATTAGCACACATTCAAATCTCAGTTTCATCATTAAAGGCATCTGGGTTAAAAACTCTTACTGAGGCAGAGCCTGAATGAGAGTTCAGCCCAAACGTCTCACTGAAACGCTGCGGGATTTACAAAACCAGCTCACGGAAAACTGGGCCTCTGCAGACTGAAGCCCCAGCAGTTCCAGCATCCAGACTCCTGGTTATACAGGAAAAAGAAATATTCTGCCAGTACCATTTATGTTTTCAACCTTTGTTTTGTTTTATTCCAAGAACAGAGGGCAGGTAATTTAGTATGCTCTTATTTTGAAGGATTTCAAAGACTGGAACACAATGCTGGAATGTTAGGAATTAAAATGACAAACTCTCTAGTGGTTGCCTGATCGGTTGAACAGAAAACTGTTTACTGCATTAAAACCACTGTTGAACAAAGAAAAAGCGTTAACTGCGACACACACCCAGACGTATAAATCAGCCTATAGTCATTACCAAAAGGTAAAAAAAACAATCCACTGGACTTTGTTACCAAGTTTGAAGACGTTTCTCTTCCCATCCATGAAGCTTTTTCAATTAAAAATGTCAGAAATAGCGTTGAGTTCCAGTTTTTATCCAGTAGCCCAACAAAGCCTTGTTTTTGCTTTAAAAACATGTAAATTGAAACAGATGAATGGGGGTTGTTTGGCTTGTTTGTTAGCCTGCAATGCTCCATACCTGTCTATGTCTCTGAAATGGGGTCGTTAAAGGTTCCCCTGTAAAGGGGTGGGGGTTCCGATGATGGCAGGAAGGAATCAACTCAATAGCTTCATTGTAGGTTTTTGAAAGCTGAAATCTGAGTTCACCCCCTCTCTGTTTAAGGTTGTTTTTTTTCTTTCTTAACATACATGGCTTCGTTCACTCCACTCTTAAACCAACTGTCCTCTTTGTCCAAAATGTGAACATTCTGGTCCTCAAAAGAACTGTGAATGTCAAAAGAACTGTGAAGAACAGTGTTTGCTCACATATACCTTGTGCTGAAGCCTTCAATCTGAGCCCCATCATGTTTTTAAATGTCCATTTTTCCCCAGTTTTAAAGGATTAGTGGTGGATCTCGAGGACGGAAACATTGTGAAATTGGCTGAAGATGGAACTGTACTACGGTATGCCCATTCGTCATAAAATCTACACTGAGTTGGAAGCTTTTAGTTTATTTTTTTTTAAGCAGTTGTGGATTTTGTTTTTAATTTTGTTTTGTGCTTGAACAGAGCAACACATGGAACCAACAACCTCAGCACAGAGGAAATCATCAAACATTACGGGCCACAACGGGAGTGGAAGCACTTCGACAGCTTAAATACCTCCTTCACAAGATCAGGTGGGAATGATTTAAAAATCAGTGTTTGCTTTTCATTCTCTGTTTTTAATTATTCCTCCATTCACTGTAATTTGTGTATATCTGCAGCTAAATACTACTTCTATGACAATTACTTTGATCTGCCGGGGGCTCTGCTCTGTGGAAAAGTTGTGGACATGTTGCACAAGGTAATATCTTTGTAATATTGTAGGGGTTTAAATTTAAAGGTACATTTTTTTAACATTAAAGCATGTTTTTCCTGGTTTAACAGCGTGGAAACGAGGTGAACTCTGACTTTTGGAAAGACATGGTGGCTGCCATCGACCATAACTACAATACTTCAGCATTTAAAGGTATGTCACACTGACCGCACCGATTCATTACTTTGAAAGATCAGACAAACTGAAAGATATTTTTCAAAGTCGAACTTTTATTCCATGTTTTTTTTTTCAGTGAGTGGTACATAACTTAACACATCCAATGGGACATAGTTACAAAAAAAGCCGTTTGAAATTCTCCTCCGATGTTCTGCTCGTAGTCACAGTGCTGGTGTAAGTGTGCTGATCTCTTGTAACGTGTGAAACATCGGTTTTGCATATTTTTGTCTTTGAAAATTTAAAGGAAACCCTCAAACAGACATGGATTTAAAAAAAAAAAAACAACAACAAAAAAAACAACAAGCAAACAAACACAAACAAAGCGGGCACCATATATGGTGTCGCCATTCCAGGAGATTGTAGAGCACCACTTTGAAATCTTCCAAAATCATTTCTTTGTTTTTCGTTTTACAGCTAAAACACAAAGCGAATGAGGGGGGGTGGGGTGGGGGGTTGTATCTCAGTTTGAGTATTTTTACACCCTTGAAACTTGAGGTTGTTAAATTGTCATACAGATTCACAATCTTTTTTTTTTTATTGTGTAAACTGATCTGTTCCTATGAACAGGTCAATGTTGGGTCTTTTTTTTTTTTATAAGGTTTTGAGGTTTATAGAGATTAATTAAATCACGTTGAGGCAATTAAGAACCCAGAGAACCCACAATGAACATTGTCTGCAGCAAAGATACCATTGCTCTCCTCGTCTGGGACTTGGATGAAGACTCTGTCGCCTGGGTGCAGCATAAGAACGGCGCTGCCTGCCATCTGATCCAGGAAGCCCTTGTTGTATTCATCATAGATGAAAACCATAGGCTCTTCGTTCCTGTAGAGGGCCACCAAAGCATTGGCACCATTGACGTGCATGTGGAAGCTAAAGTAGTAAAGGCCTGGAACCTGACAGGTGAACACACCACTGTGGGGGTCATAGTGGTTCTCTCCATTGTAAAGAATCTGGTTGAACTGAATAGGGGTTCCAGCAGGGGGGTAGGCCATGGTCAGCACAGCACTGAAGGCAGACATGGGAGCCTTCATCACTTCATGAGGCATCACAACCTCATGGGATTTGATTGGCATACTCTTTTCATGGTGGTAGACTACCTCTCCTGGGGGACCAGGTGGACCAGGAGGGCCAGCAGGGCCGGGGCGACCATCATGACCTTTCTGTCCTGGGGGTCCTGGGGGACCCATGGGACCAGAAACTCCCTTAGATGTGAGGCCTGCTGGACCAGGTGGACCTGGGGGACCTTGGTGGCCCTTAAGTCCAGGGGGACCTGATGGACCAGGAGGGCCAACTTGCCCTGGAGCTCCTGGCATTCCAGGTTCACCGCTTTTACCTGGTGCTCCTGGGGGACCTGTGTGACCCTTATGTCCAGGGAGACCATTTGCACCTGGACTTCCTGGAGAGCCAGCATGGCCTTGTGAACCCTTAGGACCCTGAGCTCCATTGTGACCTGGAATGCCTGGGGGACCTACTGCACCTGGAACACCTGGTTTCCCAGTGAAGCCTTGTGCTCCCTGCTCACCCTTGGATCCTCTTGGGCCTGGTGCGCCTACCATACCAATATCACCTTTGGGTCCTACTGGGCCTGTCTCACCCATAAATCCTCTTGAACCCTGAGGACCAGCTGGACCTATTGGACCAGGAGCACCAGGTTGACCGGTAAATCCAGTTGGGCCTGGCTCTCCTTTCTGACCAGTGGTTCCTGGGGTTCCTGGAGATCCTCTGGATCCTGGTATTCCAGGCTCACCTGTTTTTCCAACACCTGGCATTCCAGGAGAGCCTGGCTGACCAGCGGGTCCCTGTGGACCCTTAGCCCCCATTGGCCCTGGTGTACCTGGGGTACCATTCTGGCCTGGTTTCCCTGGTGCTCCTACACCTGGTGGGCCAGTGTGACCCTTAGGACCTGGCATACCCATTGGCCCAGGAGCCCCATCTCTTCCTGGATTTCCACTCTTACCAGGTTCTCCGGGATAGCCAGTGGCACCGGGCTTGCCAATTCCAGGCTTGCCAGGCATACCAGATGGGCCCATTGGCCCAGTTGGACCCGACGGACCCTGCACCCCAGGAACACCAATACCTCTCTCTCCTTTTGGGCCTGGAAGACCAGGAATACCAGGATGACCCTTCAAACCGGGCTCTCCTCTATGACCCATTGGACCTGGAAGCCCTGCTGGTCCAGGTTTTCCCGTAGCTGACAGCCCAGCAGGTCCAGGGGTTCCAGGTGTACCGGGTGCACCTCTTGGTCCCATTGGTCCAGTTGCACCATTTGCACCTCTATCACCAGGTTTACCAGGGCTTCCTGGTTTTCCTGGAGCACCTGGGATACCAGGTTTGCCTGCCTGAGAGTGGCCAGGGGCTCCAGGTGTTCCCGGTGGGCCTCTTGGTCCTGTATGTCCCATACCCATTTCTCCGGGAGGTCCAGGTGGTCCCATTGGTCCTGGTTCACCTGGGGGTCCTGGAGGACCTTGAGGTCCTGCAACACCTTAAAAAAAGCAGACAACATGTTAGTCTGGTGTTGCAGTGCAGATGGGGTGATTTCACCAATCCTTGCTGTTTTATTTTCATCCTTTGAAAAATACATGTTGGGATTTTTCTACCAAATAAAATCAAAACAAGCAAACAAGATTGAAAGCAGCATCAACCACTCTGTGAGGAGCCACCAACTTAGTTATTTTGGTGTCTGGCTCTAAAGCAGCCTTTGCCTTTTCAGAGAAAGATGTAAATCTCTCCTTCTCTGTCTATAACTGCATCTATGGCATTGTTCCCCACCATAACCCGGTGGAGCGGGAGTTAAATATTGCTCCATATGATGGTGGATAGGGTTGTGGGGACAGCAGGGTTTTTCTTCCTCGTACCATAACCTTTAGAGGAACGTTGCTCTGGAGACAGCATCCAGCTCACCAGTTCCTGTCCGTTGCACCTCCAAACCCTTCAATATCTTGACTCTGCACTCAAAATGTTGTAAATATTCCTTCCAGTCAGTGTCAGCTGTGCTCTATGTTGAATTAATACAACTAATATCTTTCTCTAATCTGTTTATTCTAAAACTGGTAACCATAAAATAGCAGGTATTGTTATTATTCAATTAAATGTTTTATCATAGGAGCTCAGTTCCTAATTAGGTAGCCCAAGTCTTTATTAACCTATTGCTTTAAATTCAAGGCATATCAAATATAAATGGTTGCTGTGGAAAGGGTTTAGATCAGGCATTTTCTCAATTGGTCTAAAGTCCTGCACCTTTTAAATGAGTCTCTAGTTCAACACAGCTGTACCAATTAATTGGGTCATTAGCAGGACTCTGAGTGCATAATGAGGAGGTCATTCAGTCATTTGGTTTGAGTGTGGAAACAGAGAGTCATCTAAAATGTGGACGTCTGACCTCAAGGGCCGGAGTTCAGGAAGTCTGGTGTAGCTGTTGGCTGTTTTTTTGACAGAAAAAAAAAAAAAAAGATGTCTGGCCTTGGCTTTAAATCCGCCAAAGTAATGAGCTTTGTGAAGTTTGTTATTCTGGATAGGTTAGCGTCTGCCTCCATGAGATCTTAGAAGATGTCGTGTTTATCAATAAGTGGTGATTGGCAGAAGGAAATGGTTTGAAGTTCTGGTAAACGTCTCAGGTTTGTCTTCTGAAATGGTGTTTAGGGAGGAAAACATGTCATTTTCTAGCCACATGGCGGCTGCTGCCTGACAGGAGATGTTTATGCCAGGAACGGACCTCTTGGCAGTCAGTGATACCACAAAGTGAAGGTGATGGACTCAGACCTTCACTGTCCCTTTCACTCTCCAGCCCCTTTCTTGAAGCTCAGCTGATTTAAAAAAGTTACTGTGAATCCTGTTTAGTATTTTTTCTGCAGGTTGGATAAATACTCTCTGTGGGGTAAAGCTCCTCAGAAGCATTTCTTTCCTACCTCTATCTCCCTTTGGGGTGTTGTGGGACACCCTGAGGATTTTGGGTGGGGCAGGCCTGCATCTGTTTTGTAGACTTGTTGAATCCCAGCCCTCACTTTTTATTTCAAGTTTTATGTATTTTTAAGGAGGCCTGAAGGCAAACCACATCAACAGCTCTGTAAACGCTGACAGCGACGTTTATATCGTTAACTTGGGTCATTAAATCTATCGGGCATCCAAGAAGAAGTGGCATCATGGCAACCTCTGCTTCTTTATGTCATTACTTTGCACAAATATGACAGCTCCCTTCCACCCCTTGTGATTTAGAGCACACAGGCTCTTTTTTATTACATCAACTAACAGGTGTAAAAGGAAACAGTTGATCCACTAGATGGGCCTTAATGAAGTAGGGCGGCACTGACGCATAAGAGAAAACAGTCTGCCTGGGTGTGAATAAAAGGTGTATTTCTGGAGCTAATAGTGCTAAGGGTGATGGCATTAATAAGGATAATGATTTGATTTAACAGCTAACTGAGAACTTCTATGTATTTTCATGTCATTTAGAAAATTAGGAGAAGTTGGAGGATAAATTAGACTTAAAGGTTGAAATGTCATTAATGTGGCAGAACTGATTGGTGGGTTCTTCTTTCCTGGGCTGATGGTTAAGACCTCATGGACTATTGATGCCTTTAGGGAGGGTGAACAGTGAACTTAAGGACATTTGTAAAGACATATTTAGGACAATTTATATAATCTCTATGTTTGGTAGAGACATTTTACCACAGAAACTCTACCTAGCTCTAACTTTGTATTTTAAATGGTTCATATTTTTATGACGGAACAAAGACGGGATCCATCATGGATTCACCCGCAAAGTTTCCTTTTAATTCCAGCTGCTGATTGTAGCAATAAATCCACCTCCAGAAAAATGCTCCCAGCACCACAGTGTGATAAAATCATTAAAGTGTGACGGGGAGAATAAAAAAAAGGTAACTTACTGTGACTCTTGACGGGATAGGGGACCTTGGACACTTTTGATGCATAGTACCTCTCAGGGGTTCCCTCGGCCAAGGCCAGGAGGACGAAAAGGACGGATGTTACTCGCAGGTCCATCATGTGAAGCGAAACCTGCACATAAGAACATCTGAGTTAGAAAAAGAGGCGTGCTTGTCTCTGCTACATCAACATGGAAAAAGTCATTGAATCACTTTCTGTAGAGCAAAGAAAGTGAATTTAAAAGTAAGAAGCTTTTGCAAAAAACGAAAAAATGTCTAAATGGACTGTATAAACATGAACGTCTCATTTTGCCACTGGAAACCAACAGAAAGAGGATACTGAGCCCACATGATGCAAAAGTGATGCTTGTCCATCTGTTAAACAAAAAGTTCATCAAATCTAAGTCTACCTGCAACCATCAGCTCTTTACCATTATCTGATCCACAGCCTGCCTGCAGCTCACAGTCTCCTCTCCATCATGCAATGACCCCCAAACTTAAAGCCAAACTTACCGTGAAGGTGTGCGCTCCAAAGAAACAATGCGTGGGGCGGGGGCTGCGGGTCAGGAGGCTGCTGACCCGGCGCGGTCCTCGTATATCCTTAGATGTAGAGTCGGTCTGCCAGTGTGAGTGGCAGCTGCTGCTTCCCAACACGCTGGGCTCAAGGTTTTTATACCAAGCTGCTCTCCAGCATCATGGAGTCATCTACCTCCTGTGGAAGACCCTCCCTGCTCTGATGTCATCTTTAATGATGGGTGCTATATCCCAAGGAGGCCTGTCACATCAGTGACGGTCCTCCCTCCTCCTGCCTGGTTCTCCCTGTGCTCCCTCTGAATCACATGTTCTCTGCTAATGTTCATCTGTCCCGTCGTCCACAGCAGATGCTCATTGGTCCTTCTGTCCAGTTACTGTTTGTGATATGGTTTATTTTTAAAGACTAAAAGCAGACCCTTATTGACCAAATAGTCTGTCACAGTCAGTTTTATTTCTTGAAAATTAAAGACTTATTTGACCTCTTGTCTGAGTGAAACCCACACTAATCATCTTTTTCTCTAGATAATGTGTATATTTTTTCCAGCTGTGTTTAAATCTCCCTTTTAAACTTGCTGCAGGAACAATCTAATCATCTCTACAAACACATCAAAAAGCCTGCTGCGCTGCACTGCACTGGTCTCTGTTGGTGAGCGAGTGAGAATGGATGCAGAGAATGCAGCATTTAGCCACTAGGGGTCAGAAGTGAGGCATGGTCAGACTGAGTGAAAGTGTGTGGTTCACTGAAAACTTTGTCTCTTTGTATTAAAGTAGATTGCTAGCATATAAAAAAAGATTAAAAAAAGAAGAAATTTGAGAAAAATGTCATCTTTGTGCACTGATTCAGGCTGCATTATGTTTATAACATCTTCTGTCATCTATGGACTGAATTTTCTTTCATTGTTGTTGCAACAAAGAACAAGTTTTACTAACAGAACTTAGAAGAAAAAACTTTTTCATCAAAAAAAAATATTGTATTTCATGAAATTATTGGTATTTTTTTCATTTTCGATCTTTTTTCTTTTTTTTTAGATTGAGTTTTGAGAATTAAATTCCGAATTGTGTTTTCCAAATAATGTTCTCTGCACATCTGGGTTGTTGCTACTGGACGGCAGCAACAATATTTTTATTGGTCAAGAGTGAGCTTTTGTATTGGGCTTGAAGTGAAGGGGATGTGATCTGTACCATAGTAGCCATTCAACATTTCCACACTATACTTGATGGGTCCTTGGATGGTCCCTTACAATTCCTTTTTAAACATCAATATTGTACTAAAATATTCTTTAAGTCATGATTTGTGGACATTAAGATCTAAAGAGAAGCATCCTCTCCTGGTCAGACGCTGTAATTCAGTGAAAGGGTGGAGTCAGAGTAAAAGAATATGCAAAAGGGGGTCACTCCAGCAGGGATTTAAGTATTCCAGATTTCCGGCTCATAGCGATTGCCCGTAGGGAAAAAAACCCAAAAAACTCTTGAATATAAAATATAAATAAAATAAAAAAAAATAATTGAAATCCCTCTTGCGTGTTTCAGCCAGTGGTAGAAAAGGAGCGCTCTGAAACTAACAGTATTAGCCAATCAGAAGAAGGGGGGGGGGGTCTTAGGAAATCGTGTACCTCCTCCTCTCGTTTCTTGGTCAAGCCGCCAGATAGATTTTGATTCAGTGCTGAAGTTCTACATGTTCAACAGAGAAACGTGTAAAAAAATCAAAAAATGAACAAATGAAACTGTGTTTGTAGAGAAGGATAATGGAGAGAACGGAATGGCATGGAGTGGCACAGTTCATGAACTCTGGAGAAGATGTCACGACCATAGCTGGGCATGGCTGGAGGAGACAGGGTGAGATGGCTTACCCCTTTAGCAGCTGGTGCAGAAGGTTAGGTGTACCAGCCGCTTCTGCACGCTGTGCTCCAGGAACACTTAGCAGCAAAACTGGATATCATAAATGTAGTACATGCATCTTCTGGACGTTTTTGGTATTGGATTTATATATATATATATATATATATATATATATATATATATATATATATATATATATATATATATGTATATATATATATATATATATATATATACCATACCATATTCCAACTTGCTGCCACTGCTGCAAGTTGGAATATGGTTTTGTTACTCTTGAATCCTATTTTTGTTGAAGAAGATTCTCAAGGTTTCATTTCTTAATAGAATTTTCTTTTTTTTTTGCCATTTACAAAAGATGGTCTTTGTGTGCTACAATAATGAAACAAAATTTACTCCATGATCAGCTCAATCAATCATAAACTGGAGCGTAGAGAACCAAAAAATACTCTATATTGGTACACATCACAACTTCTTTTTCATTAAATAAAATGCTCTTTTTTTGAGAAGGTATGAAACTGAAAAAACTTCACTTTAAATTTTTAGAAAGCCCAGACAATGCATTTTTGATGCAGATTTGTTATTGCTATTATATAGCATTATCAAGGCACCAACTGTTCCACTCCGGGCCTTTAGGTGGCAGTAATACAAAAGGGAAAGTAGAGTTGCAGTGAGCCTGTATTTCCATGGCTGTTTGATTTCAGAGGCTGCATCCTCCAAAGACTTGGTCTATTTGGACTGGGTCTTTCGAGGTCCGTAAAAATAAGAAAGTCGGAAGTTTTGCCTCTGGATTCAAGCAGTTCCAGCCTTCTCCAGCTTTCATCGCTCGTACGCTCTGTCGCCTAGCAACTGTGACAGCTCACACACAAAGCAGGCAAAGAATGGATGCGCTATCAGCTCATTTGCGCATGCTCATCCAGATATACATCTGGGTTTTCCTCAATTTTATTTTGTTAAAAAGCCCTAAATTATGTTTTCCCTCCCCAAAAATTGTAAACGTATTAAAATATTATATGTTAAAGGTTTATGATGTATTTCTTGAGAAAATAAATGCATTAAAATCCTTTCTTTTTTATCACTCTGTGCCTGATCTGCACCGGAAATGGGATTCTACGCTACTTCTGGTGGCTAACTTTTTCGGGTTTTTGATTTAAACATAAATCTATATAGTCTTTTTGAGATTTTTGTTTTTCTTCTGTTTGGAGAATAAAGTCCTAACATTCCGAGAATGAAGTCATCAAACAACAACCCATTTCAGAAACAAAGCTTTGAGCTCCGACCAGCATATAATGGCCGACCAGCTCCACCAAACAGAAACCTGAGTCCTCTTTGACATGATGATGCTCGCGAATTCCTCGCTTAAGTGAAGACAGTGCTTCCTGTAAGAGTTGTCTTAAAATACAACTTCTTTCTTCTAATTTTAGGACTTTATTCTCATAACTTTATGACTTTATTCTCATAACTTTATGACTTTATTCTCATAATGTTGCGACTTTATTCTCGTAATGTTGTGACTTTATTCTCATAATGTTGCGACTTTATTCTCGTGATCTTCCGACTTTATTCTCGTAATTTTATGACTATTCTCGTTGCGACTTTATTCTTATAATCTTCCGACTTTATTCTCGTAATTTTATGACTATTCTCATTGCGACTTTATTCTTATAATCTTCCGACTTTATTCTCGTAATTTTATGACTATTCTCATTGCGACTTTATTCTCGTAATCTTCCGACTTTATTCTCGTAATTTTATGACTATTCTCGTTGCGACTTTATTCTCGTAATCTTCCGACTTTATTCTCGTAATTTTATGACTATTCTTGTTGCGACTTTATTCTTGTAATTTTATGACTATTCTCGTTGCGACTTTATTCTAGTAATCTTCCGACTTTATTCTCGTAATTTTATGACTATTCTTGTTGCGACTTTATTCTCGTAATTTTATGACTATTCTCATTGCGACTTTATTCTTATAATCTTCCGACTTTATTCTCGTAATTTTATGACTATTCTCATTGCGACTTTATTCTCGTAATCTTCCGACTTTATTCTCATAATTTTATGACTATTCTCGTTGCGACTTTATTCTCGTAATCTTCCGACTTTATTCTCGTAATTTTATGACTATTCTGGTTGCAACTTTATTCTAGTAATCTTCCGACTTTATTCTCGTAATTTTATGAGTATTCTTGTTGCGACTTTATTCTCATAATTTTACAACTATTCTCGTTGTGACTTTATTTTCGGAATTTTATGACTTTATTCTCAAAATAGAAGAAAAACTAATCTCTTGCCTGGCCCTAAAGTGTCAGAACCAGACCAGAATCAAGTGAACTCTTGTGATGCTTTGAATATATTATAATAAAATAGAATAGAAAAGAAAAGAATAGAAAACCCTTTCTTTATTGTCCCACAACAGAGACATTCTGGTGTTTACAGCAGCAAAAAGATTATAGAAAAAATGGTCACACAAATGTGGACCCTAGAAAAATGTATAAGAATAACGAAGAGTTAAAAGATTAACAATAAAATCCTGTACTGTAAAGTCTTTTAACAATATAAAACTGTTCATCTGTAGAGTAAATAAGCAATACGCAGCTATGGACATTTTTACAGTAATGGATAGTTGAAAATAGCAGCAACATCAGAGAAGTGCAAAATGACAGCAGCGTGTTATTTAACTGACTAAGGTAGAAACTGTGCAAAATCAGCATGAATGTAACAACTGATTGAGGTTGCTGGAAACAGTGGTGGTTCTAGAGTCTTCCAGCTGCTGGGAGGAAGGATCTGTGATAACGCTCCCTGGTGCATTTAGGGGGCAGCAGTCAGTCAATAAGGAGCTCCCCTGTTTAGCAACAGCTTCATGCTTGAGGTGGGAGACATAATCCAACAGAGATGTTCATTTAGTTAAAATTACAAAAGGTTAATATCTTTCCCAAATATTTCCCATCCTGAAAAGATAAACCACAAAAGGCACTTTTTTCTCTCTTAATTTTCCCATTTCTCCAATGTTTTTTTCCTCTTGTGCCCAGCATTATACGGTCATAAAAGCCTAATGGTGTATAGAAGTGAGACAGCGTTGAGTGATTTGTGGGAAATGCATAAGTCCTCCATCTGAAGCATATAAAAGCTGCAGTGGCCCAGCTACTGTGTAATATTTGCTCTACCTACTCCTGGAAAAGCCTTTTCCTCCTCTGACCGTATCATTTAATCTGCTACCAACTCAGCAGCTGCAGAAGAGCCCTCGCTGAGCCGTAGGCATCCTCTGTAAACTCTCTGAAT